TTTTTATATATTTTTAAAGTGATTTAAGAAATAAGAGATTAATTTTAAAATATATAAAAACTAATTTAAAAACATATAATTGTTTGAGACAAAAAAAAGTAAATAACATGTTTAATATTTTTATTCAAACAACTAAACCTTCTTTAAAATAATTTATATATGTTTCAAAACTTTTTTTTTCAGACTATTTTAAGATTGCACTTATAACCCATTGCATTTATAGAAATTAATTAAAGGTTAAATGTTAATTTTGGTTTCTTAACTTTATAAAGTTTCACCTTTTTGGTCCCTCAATTATTTTTTGTATTTTTTTTATCCTTTAACTCTAAAAAATGCATAATTTTGATCTTTCCGTCAGTTAAGTATGATGTAACTGTTAAATAATTTCATATAGCATTTTCTTTTAATTCTTTTGATGATGTGACTATAACATATTTTACAATTATATCATATGGCCAAATAAAAATTTTACGTCAGTTAAATATTTATATTTTAATAAAAAGAAATAAAAACAAACAAAATTACATTATTAACCCTCACCCTCTCGATCCATCTTCTTCCCCTTCTTTCTCTCTCTTTCCTACCTTGCCCATGGAATGATTGGAAGCTTTCAACTTTAGTAAAGAACTTCCCACCAAAGTTTAAACAATCAAAAATCCATGTTTTTAAATCTTGTTCTTTTTTATTGAATGCTTTTGTGGGTCGTATTTTTCTTGATTTTGGGTTTCTAGGTGTGGATTGATTCTGGGTTTGTTGTAGAAATTTCAAAATTTTGGGTATGGAGGTGTTGGTGATTGGGAGTTCTTAGGCATAGATTTGGAGAACGGAATTGGGGTATAGAGATTTCAGGTTTTGCTTTGGGAAGAATGATGAAAGGAATAGGATTTTGTCGAGAAAGACAAAGCATGTTTGCTTTGTGGGTCAAAGTACGAGGTGGAGCAATTCCAAGCTTCAATTTGTTGTGAAAGCCATGAAAGCTGAACCTGTTCATGCATCAAAACCTTTCATCAGATCCAAATCCATAAGCTTTCTTTCCTTTGTACCTAGATCGGTTGGGTTCTATCGAACCCAGCTCTGCTGGTTCAACAAAACCCAGCTGTTGGGTTCGATGGAACCCAAATCGACTACGTTTGACAAAACCGAACTTGGCTAGGTTTGAAGAAACCTAGCTGCTAGGTTTAGAAATAGGTTTTAGAGCTGGGTTTGTCGAGTTCACCACGTTTGTTCATTCTTCTTTCGATTTCCATTCCCAATTCTTGATAAATTTGAGAGTTGATTTACAATTCGATTGCATTTATGTTGGAATTTGATTAGGGTTTGATTGAAATTGTTTATTGAAGAGTTAATTTGATGGGGTGGAGATGAGAGAGCATTTAGAGAAGAAGATATGGGTTAAGATCGATTTTGTAGATGGAGTTAAGATCGATTTTGTAGAAGGAGTGGAGATGAAAGAGCAATTTAAGGTTCACAGACATTTTACCCCTTTATTGGTACTTTGCAGGCAATGTGTGGGATCCATTTGAGTGGCTTTTGGCACGTTTGACTCACGAGAATATGATATGACATAATGTTTTGTTCATATCAGTATTTTTTTAAGTTGTGCTCTCCATGCAATAAAAAAATGTAAAAAATGCCAAGTGGACAAAGTTAATGGCTCAAATTGATGGAAAGACTAACGTTATATATTTCGTAGAGTTGAGGGATAAAAAAGTGTAAAAAATTGTTGAAGGACAAAAAAAGTGCAA